GATGGAGAGCTTCCTCCAAAAGAATTTAGTTTAGACACCAAAAATGAGAGTTGGTTTAAAGAAAAGTTTTGGGGCCAGCAGGTGGCATGGTGGTTAAGATGCTGGATTCCCACATGACTAACCACAGTTTGAGTTCTGGACCTGGCGGCTTGAAAAGTCACACCAGGCACATGTGCCCGAATTCCTGAGAGGAGAATGAAAAAGCAAGGATTGTGTGTCTGAGAGGAGAATGAAAAAGAAAGGATTGTGTCGTGACCATCCTCCCTGGAGGGTGATTTCTAACTTTCCCTCTCTCTGTCGAGTACATGCACCTTATGACAAAAAAGAAAAAAGAAAGAAGGGAAGAAAAGAAAAAAGAGAAAAGAAGAGGAAAAGAGAAGAGATAAAAGAAAAGAAAGAAAAGCATTAAGTAGGTAGTGGTCCAAGCATTAGAATAAGAGATGCTTACCAAGCCCAGTCATAAGAAGGGTGGATTTTAACCCTTTGAGTGTTATTGACTTCTTTTTAAGACCATGATGTCAGAGACATACCCTCCCACCAGAAAAAAAAGCATGAATGTTGCATACAATTTCAGCAGATTCAGGAGTCATCCTTGGGTCAGTGTTGGAAAGAACAGTAGGGTGAGAGTCCCGATGTCTGGGTGTCACAGTCTTGCTCATCTTTGCAATTTAGCTGCAGTACTGCTTGGAGTCTCGCAGTAGTACAGCAGCAACGTGCTCAGCCATTGTAATAGCTGCACTTATGAAGTGCTTTCTATGTACCAGGCACTTACCAAGCCTAAGCACACCTCATCCACGCAGAAAAGAACTAGCACCATCCCCATTTTCTAGGAAACTGAGCTCAAGGAGCTTTTCAAGGTTACACAGCTAAGAATTGGCAGGGTCAGGATTCGAACCCAGACCAACCTATCTGCAGCAAATGAATGAGTCCTCCCCCACCAAACTCCACTGCCTCAATAAACACTTGCTGAATTGGATGAATGGCAATGTAAACAGGTCCTAGTGGTCACTCCGCCGTTTATTACCTGGATGACCTTGAGCGTGTCTCTCACCCTCAGTGAGCCTCTGTTAAGAAAGGAGGTTTCCCAGTCCTGGCAAGCCATGATGCTAAGATGCCGGGGTCACCCGGAGCCAAGGGGCTTCAGGACCATTCCCTGAGCAGAGTGGAGCCAGACCTGGGGACATGCACAGTGAGTGAGTGGCATCACCAAGGAGCCCACGCAGCCCTGACTTCCAGCACAGAGCTTGGGACTTCAGGAACCCACATTTCCTATTCTATTTGCTCCCCTCTCCTGGCAACTTTGTCAGCCACCCCCCACCCTTTACCCCTCCCCAGTGATATGCCTTCAGGTGCCCAGGGAGGAGGATCCCTGTCACCCATCCTCTGGCGGCCTAGGAGGCTCAGCACCTTACAGCTAATTAACCATGGCTTCTTGGCTGCACCAGGGCAGGCCTGCACAGCACACAGGGTCCCTAATCCCAGCTAGTATGCTTAGTGGGGGAGGGAGCAAAAGGGAGGAGGCTGAGGGCTGAAGTATTCCTGGAATCTGTGGCAGATGACAGTCGGGTCCCTGACTCACACTGCCCCTTCGTGGTCAGTCTGGGGAAGCAGCACACCCCGGCAGAGATGGACAGAGCTTCCAGCTCTGGCTTCTTGGAGATTCTGAATTTTAAATCTGGAAAGGACTCAGCTCAAACCACTCAAGTAAAGGAGGGAAACTGAGGCCTAAAGTGGGAAAGCAACTTACCAAAAATGAAACATAAGAGTTAGCAAACATAGGGACCAGCAGTTAGCATAATGGCTATGTCGCTGGACTCCCACATAGTCGACCACAGTTCGCATCCCAGACCCAATGGCTTAAAACTCACACCGGGTGCATGTGCGTGCGTGCCCGAGATCCTGAGAGGAGAATGGAGGAAAAGGGATTGCAGCGTGGCCATCCCCCCTGGGGGGTGATTTCTCGCTTTTTATCTCTCTGTCTCTCTGTCTGTCTGGCGAGTGCACACGCCTTGTAGCAAAAACCTCTCCAAAAAAAAAAAAAAAGAGAGTTAGCAAACATAGGTCTCAAACATAGGTTTTCTAAAATTAGATTCCCAGCCCAATCCATGATTTACAGGGATAATAGCTATTATTTGGCTGTTAATGTTATTTTTTTTTTGGCTGTTATTTGCTGTTAATGCAGAATTTCTTGGAAGGCAGGCCCTTGGTAGCCAGAGTACCCATATGGACTTCACATATTCTACCTTGCTTAATTCTCACAGCAACCCAGAGAAGTCAGTACTGCAATTGGCCACATTTGACTGATGAGGAATGGAGACTTAGGGACAGTGTGAAACTTGTCCATGGCTACTGATGAGACAGTCAGGATTCTATCCCAAGGAGCCCCATTCCATCAAGATAAGGGGCTCCTTATCAGAAGTCACAGAGGGCTTGTTCAGGATGGGTATGCCAAGCCATGCCCTGCTCTGCAAGAGGACAAAGTAAAATGGAAAACAGAACGAGAAGGTAGGTCATTGTTTACCTACCAGACAAGCAAGGATTAAACAGGCTGACGGACCCAGAGTTGTGGAGCTATAGGGAACATGTGATACTCATACACCCGGGATGGGAGGAAAAACTGATACAAACTGTTCAGAAGGCAATTGGGCTAGCTGTCCCTGCTTAAGTATGGAACTGACCCAATGATTCTTCATGCAGGAATTTAGTCTACGGAAACACTCAGACATGTCGTAGTGAAATGCATGATGCATGGAGCCAGCAGGTGACGTAGTGGTTAAGGGCACTGGACTCCCACATGGCCAACCGCAATTCAAGTCCTGGACCTGGTGGATTGCTTTCTCACTTTGTCTCTTTCTGGTCAAATTTAAATAAATAAATAAGTTCAATAATTTAAAGAAAAAAAAGAAATACAGGATGCTTTTCATTGCTGCATAATGGCCAAAAATTGGAAATCACCTACTTGACTATCATTAGAGAAAGCATCAAATTAACTAGTACATATCCACCCAGACAGCAGGGTGTAAGGCAGTTCCTGGGATGCCAGAAGAGAAGTGAAATCACGCCGAACACCCTGACATGGGGACATATCTTACACATATGCTAAGCAAAGATGGCAATTTGAGAAAATATGTGTGTAATATGACCCCATAAAAAAAATCTAGAAGGATAAAAACAACATTGTGAACTCTAATCCCATCTGCTTGACTGGAAAAAAGGCTTTTCACTCTTTATAAATTTTTTGCAATGAATAATTTTTTAAATTCAGCACATATCACTTTTGTAATAAAAATATATGACTCTGGAGGGGAAATGAAAAGAAATGAAGAAATGGCTCCTTCCCAGAAAGAATTTACAAGCTGGGTGGTGAACAAGGACTCAGCCAGCTCGGTAGTAGCTTCACATTGACAAGGAACCAATAAAATAACAGAATGGGATCTGCTTTTATACGTCCTATGGGGTGCAGAGCAAAGAAGTCAATCTGTGTTGGGCGCCATTAATCAGAGCAGAGTTCTGGGAGGAGGGTGATGACTGGCCCGAGATACAAAGCATATTAGGAAATGAGGGCCAACAGGTGATGTGGTGGATAAGGCTCTGGACTCCCATATGGTTGACTGCAGCTCAAGTCCTGAACCTGGTGACTTGCTTTCTCACTGTCCCTCTCTCTCTCTCTGTCTCTCTCTGGACAAATAAAATAATAATGATAAATAAAATTAAATAAATAGCTCTTTGAAAAGCACTACTGATTTCTTTTTTTAAAAAGTATATTGGGGGACCAGCAGTTAGCATAATGGCTATGTCGCTGGACTCCCATGTAGTTGAACACGGTTTGAGTCCCAGACCTGGTGGCTTAAACTTACGCTGGGCGTGTGTGCGTGCGTGCCTAAGATCCCAAGAGGAGAATGGAGGAGAAGGGATTGCAGCGTGGCCATCCCCCCTGGGGGGTGATTTCTCGCTTTCTGTCTCTCTGTCTCTCTCTGACTTTCTGGCGATTGCAGGCACCCTGTAGCAAAAACCTCTCCAAAAAAAAAAAAAAAAGTATATTGGGAAATGGCCATTATCATCTGCTGGTGCTGCAACCCAAAAATATGAAACCAGTGACAGTATTTTCTTCGAGTGCCTTCTGATCATTGTGATTATTCGATAAGCTAGGGGTGTAAAGAGTTTAGCACAGGACTTGTAGAACACACACGTGCTCCATCAGGGGTTGCTATGGTGAAGTGCTTGTTTTTCTTCACTCTTGGATCAAAACCAGAATCCTTTACATTGTCTTCTTTTACTTTTTTTTTAAGGTTTTTGGCATAGCGCACTGGTCAGAGACAGACAGAAACAGTGAGAGGGAAAGTGAGAAATCACAAACACACACATACACCGCCGGGGAGCAGGGGGAGGTGGCCATGCCACTATCCCTTCTCCTCCATTCTCCTCCTGGGATTTTGGGCACGAATGTGCATGCGCCCTGTGTGACTTTCAAGTGGCCAACCCGTGGGCCATGTGGGAGTCCAGCACCAGGCCACCCGCTGGCCCCACCTTCTTTTACTTTTAAAGAATGACCTTTCCCATTTAGGTCTTCAATAATCTCCAACTTGCCGGAAATAAATCCGTGTCGACTTCATGCCATTTTGGGAAAGTAAGATAATATAGGTCAAACTCCTAGCACAGTGCCTGACCCAAAAGAGGTGTGAGCTGTGGGCGATTATTACCACCACTGGGGTAGAATATGGTAAATGTTGGCCAGGGAAATACAGTGGCTTCGTAGCTCTTTAGATCAAGAGATGGTTCGTGGACAAAAGGGGAAGTGATTGAGGTTGGCCCCCAAATCAACCGGGAGTTTGCATTCACCTTGAACGGAAGGGCGAGCATACCTCGCAGAGGGGTTGGCCTGGGTCTCAAAGGCCCTGCAGCAGGAGTGCTGCTGGGTGACGGGGTTTGGAAGGAGCAGTTGACGGCTCCGCGACTCACACTGTTGTCTTGTTGTCCTTCTGCCGCCCCGCACCCCGCAGGCTCCCTGTTCTCCACCCTGAAGCCCCCGGACGCCGTGTTCAAGGTGGTGTTCTGGCTGGGCTACTTCAACAGCTGCCTCAACCCCATCATCTACCCGTGCTCCAGCAAGGAGTTCAAGCGCGCCTTTGTGCGCATCCTCGGGTGCCAGTGTCGCGGCCGCCGCCGCCGCCGCCGCCGTCGCCGCCGGGGCGGGGGGGG